AATTGCTTTGATATATTATACATATAGGTACTACATGTGGACCTCTCTCAGATTTGTTCATTTTCTAATGATATCTTCTGTTCTTTAATTGCCATGTGCATTGCTAACAGCGGAGCTATCTCAGCCGACAGGCTGCTTGTTAATTAGAGAAGTGTAACTTCCCAAATCATGTTTTAGAGCATACATATTCAGACATATTGAAACCTAGGGCTGATTCTTCTCTCCATACCAGAACTTGATAGCAGAGAGGGTGCTAAATTATTCACCCGTAGCCAAGGAAGGATACAGAGGGTTGCCAGGGGAGCAGGTGTCTCTGTCAGAGAGGTACAAGAACTATTGTCACAATATCAGAAATTTGCTGCTATGGTGAAAAAGATGGGTGGCATCAAAGGATTATTCAAAGGTATCTCTCACGTCCTTTTGAAATCAACATATTGTTATATTTCAAGAACACTACGCTGACTGGAATAGAAGGCAATCAATCATGTACCAGTTATCTGATCTCAATTACAATTACTTATGCTTTAACTCTTTATTATTATGGTAACCTGTGCGGAGCACACAAAATGCATTCACAATCTGCATGTGATCTGTTGATTAGGAAATTCAGGCTGGAATGCAGACAGGTTTATAAAACTATATTATGACATCCAAAAACAGTCTATGCTGCTAACTAAATATCTATTCACCCACAATGTTCTCTATGCTTGTTATAAATTTACATCATCATTTACTTTATTTAGGTGGTGACATGATGAAAAATGTAAACCCATCACAAATGATGAAACTAAATCAACAGATGGCAAAGATGATGGACCCAAGGATATTACATCAAATGGGTAAGACCATTGTGTTATGCTCATTTTAAGTTTTCTACTCAATTTGTGTATGGCTTTTAGTCCAATACGTTAATGCAATAAGAGTGTTGTTCAAACGCTACCGATGGTTGTGTGTGCAAAACTTATCATTCCTTATCATTGTCAGAAAATGGGAACTTATGTTTTGATCTCTGTGCAGCCGTGCATTTGTGTGTGCATTGCCACGTGTACTTTGGACATGCCTGGATTGATCATCATGCAAACTTCACATATATATCATACATTTCGGGATACATATGCATCTCCATTCGTTTTGCGATCAGCTTCACGATGACTGAATTGCAGCCATTTTTGTGCTAAAATCAATTTCTCCAAAAGTTGAACCGGATCTTAGTCATATAAGAATGGATTTTGTTCAAACTTGATACAAAGATCAAACATTAATGGGACCTTGATGCATGTCATTTTGTTTTTCAGATCAAATTCAAAATAGATGACTGCAGCCGTATTGTTTTAACATATGCACATGTTTTCATATGACAATCCAATCCAGTTGTTTTTCTGATCAGATTCGAAATGGCTGACTGGTGGCCATTTTGTTTCTGACACATTTTGACCATTCATGTTCAAAATTACTATATTTCTTAAACTCGCAGGGACTATGTAATGTACATATTACTCAGCCTGCAGTGTGAATTTCTTCACATAGCCCCATTTTTCTCATTGCCAATCATTGACCACAAATTTGTCATCTTTTTTTTCACTCCAGGTGGTATTGGTGGACTTCAAAACATGATGAAGCAGTTCCAGGGTGGGGGAGGACCAGGAGGTCTTGGAGGCATGATGGGTGGTATGGGAGGAGGTGGTGGTCCCAGCAAATAACATTACAACCTTGTGTTTTTAAAGCGGCAATAGCTGTGATTAAAATATATGCATTGAGATGACCAAATCTCAACAAAATATTGTTTTTACACACAATTACATGGACAAAAATCTACTCTAGCCTATATCACATAAAATTCAATGTGAAAACTAACGGTCGAGTAGTCGCCATCGTTGAATTCATTCACCGGATGGGGATCGTAGAAAATTATGATGCATTCTATTATATGAAGTGAAACATAAAATCATCAGTAAGAAAGTGCATCAGTGGCTTCGCCTCTGAGGATGGTGACATATTTGATATGAATTTGTAAGTTGTATTGGAATCTCTGAGGTTCACTTGACAAAGCTGGATTTCAATAAATGCCGCCCTCTGGAGACGTAGACGAAACATGGACGTGGACATCTTCTTTCACTTGTAAGAGATTTAATGTACAGCCATGATATATAGTGTACATGCCATTCAGTGTCCACATATCAGCGATGACCATTACAAATTGGTACTATTAAAACTAATTTATTGATAATAAAATCTGAGAAAAAATGGATAGTTACAGCTATTGCCGCTTCAACTGAAATGTCAAACAACCTCTAATGGGTGAAGACAATTTCAACTGACCATCTATTGCTCCTTTGAAAAAAACAGGAATGCATTGTTCATTACTGACTTGCCATATGGTTTATATCATATTTATCTATCCTGTCTGGCAGAACACATTTTTTTACCTCAACAGGCTTCAACTATTTACTGAACACCAGAAACTTGGTCAGCGTGTTTATTAAACCTGCGTGGATGAGAGAGAAATTGAAATAAAATTCACAAATTGAGATTTTATCATAGTTGTTCATTCCAAGGAAGTGCAATATTTGAATGGTGTGTACTGGGTACTCTTAGAGGTACAGGTCATTTTAAACTGCCTGCCTAAAAGCATGTGTGCACATAAATGTTAGGTAATTACTTCAGTAAGTCACTGTCACAACAGCAACTGTTGATTTTTTTCATTTGTGATGTGAAGAGGGGATCAAATATTTGTATGCCATAATTGTAACATGATAAAACCCATATCTTCCCACCTTGCAATAAAACATAAATATTTGCAGATGTCTTACTGAAGACTTTCATGTATATTGTCTCTTTCAATGACACTACATGGGTGTTACTTTTTAGTCACATGACAACACACCCTCACATATACCTGACCAACCATGTTTTACAAAATCAACATGACCAATTAGTGCTCCTTATATAATTGTATTGTCATTGTATACATGGTCCACATTGCAATTTCTGATTGAATTGAACCGCAAATGAACAAGACTCCAACAATCACAAAACTTGCCTGCATGTGCACCAACATAACTACCGTAAAAGTTTGAATCGCGATATGGGATGTGCTGCAATGCTTGCATAGCAACATACTTTCTGATTGGCTCTTATAAGTTGTTTACAGACAAAAATAAAGTGTACAAAAATGTTTTGATCCGGTTTTAATCTGATATGCCAGTTTTAAACTTCCTCAATTGTCAGTACGTGTTGAAATAGGTGGTATTCTCGCAATTGTGGAACTGCCTGTGTCTGCAACCTTGTAGTTTTGCCTTTGCCAGTTTATTATATAATTGATACACTCAAGCTAAGTAGTATGAATATGTAAGTCAAGGAACTCGTCGGTTGTGTAAATACCTTTGTTAAGCTGTACTGTGAGTGTGTGGTCGCTGTACCGGATGTGGGCACTCCTTCAAGTAGTTCTGGCGATCATCCTTCAGACTGAAGATCAAATTACATCAGTACTTTTAATGGTTGGCCATAATTGTTATTGCCAGTTAACAATGTTACCACAAGTATACTTGTGTAAAAAAAAAAGTAATATTAGCATAAACTATCAGTGTTGGGACTCGACCTTGGGTCCCATTCTTGTGAACAACTCTCGACTAAATATAACTTTCGCTCATCTGCATTATACAACAGTTATTAAAGCTTGTCAGTTACTTGACTACAGTTTTTTTCATCATCTCTTTATTAATTAGTCATTTCAAGAAAAATGTACATAAAAATAATTGTTTATATATGTATAAAAACATAAGTGTCTGTTTGGCCACTGTTATATTTCTGTATTAAAGTGTCCAAGCCTGCATGTTTCATTGATATAGAAGTTTCTCCGGTAAAAAGCCTATACTTGTATGCATTCAAAGGAGTGTGCACAATAATTCACGTTAATGAACTATTGTCATAATAATTACCACTACAAAATACCTTGCATTTTGTTTAGCAATAGTACACTCGCGTTTCTCAGCCACTTTATTTTGGGAATTATAATTCTTATTTTGCCATTATAGTGATTTTTTTTAATCATTCTGTTAAAGTTTGAGAAAAAAACAAAACTATTGTTATATTCAGTGTTTAAATATATATCGTATAAACGTGCTGAACATGACGTCATTTCAAAAACATTCCGTGTCCCCTCTCCCTCATCTCAGACAGAGCTTCGTCCATAAGGTCGCTCTGGGCAACAGAGAAGTATTTCTTCCAGCAGCCAACGTCATCAAAATCACGATATGCGAAGTATGCCCGACAGTCATTATTTGAGAAGCCGAGTTTGTTGCCAAGATTTATCGTAGCGGAAAGTTGATAATCCGTGGCAAGGGAATCGATGGCGGCCCCCGTGACCGGAAGACCGAGGAACTCTAACACGCTTCCGATTTCTTTTCGGAGATTGTATTTAAGATTCTCGTATTTAACGAACAGTGTGTTGGCAGGTTTGTTTTCCAGCCAGTCGGTGCTATGCGCCATCCATGATCCATATGGGAGGTTCCCGCATAGAAATTCAGAAACAAAATCGTTCCATGATAATATATGATTGTCAGGTTGGTTTGCGCAGAGTGAGCCATAAAGAGCGACACATACGTCCTTGGGGTTCCTAATCATAACAATGGTCTTGCCGTGAAAGTGATGACGTGGAAAACATTGGTACGGTAAATGCGATTTAATTAAACGCGGAGACGGAGCTCTCGTACACTCGGTATATCCCATTTTAACTGGAGTACTTGCCAATTCCAAGGTAGGGATCAACCCGTTGTCCGTCACTCTCGGCGTACCCCAGTCGTACAACTGTTGAAGTAAACTGGCCAACCAGTCCGTACCAGATTGTGCGTAGCCGGTGACGAACACATCGTCGTGTCGCACTTCGAAATCTCTTACTATGTTTTCAACATTCGTGAGCGGATTACATGCCCATCTATTAATACTGAGATAGTTGTTTCCCTCGGACGTCTCTTCAGTATGTGGAAGGGGGACTGCCATTTCTGTCTACCGCCAGCAACTTGTGTTCACACGAACTGTTTGGGGTCGCTGATAATGTATGCAACCGGGCGTGTCTCGTCCGTGATAAAGACGACTGGTAGGCATAATTTGGGCTGTGAGGGCGCTTTCAAACAACACTACGTGTCTTAGTTTGTTTATTCGATGTCAATTCCAACAGCTATCACCCTCGGAGTCTTGGGAGGAGTGGTGGCGTATGGTATTGAAATTAAAACAAGAAAACGTCACCCAGACAGCACGCGACTGACATAAATGAACAACACATTAAGCTAGGCTAAATATATCCGTGTTTTGCATCCGTGGTATTTGATGTATGGCTATTTCCATACTAATTTTAAATTTAAGGCCTGGCCCTTTGTATACTTTTGTTTTTATTGTATGTGCGCACTTGGTTCACATTCATCGTGTTAGTTATATCATGGAAGGTGCTAACGGATTTTTATATGCGACACGTCATTGTGCAATAGAATCACATCCATGTCACAGAATTGTGGGTGGACTTTTTAGGGAGTTTGGCGTACTTGCATTATTTAATTAAAGTCAATAGTCGCTTACGCGATTATCAAAATATTTGGCTCTTCAAATGTGTGTTTAAACATAAATCGTATGACACTGCTTGGTACGTTTTACTATAATGTTTGCTTTTTGAAAGGCTAAGATGAAGTGTATATATGATTGTAGTGTACATATTATATAATTGTAGTGTATATACGATTGTAGTGTATTTATGATTGTAGTGTATATATGATTGAAGTGTATATGTGATTGAAGTGAATATATGATTGTAGTGTATATACGATTAAAGTGTATATACGACTGTAGTGTATATACGATTAAAGTGTATATACGACTGTAGTGTATATATGATTAAAGTGTATATATAATTGTAGTGTATGTATGATTGTAGTGTATATATAATTGTAGTGTACATATGATTGTAATGTATATATGATTGAAGTGTATATATGATTGAAGTGAATATATGATTGTAGTGTATATACGATTAAAGTGTATATACGATTGTAGTGTTTATATACGATTAAAGTGTATATATGATTAGAGTGTATATATAATTGTTATGTATATATAATTGGAGTGACATATGATTGTAGTGTATATATAATTGTAGTGTATATACGATTGTAGTGTATATATAATTGTAGTGTATATATGATTGAAGTGAATATATGATTGAAGTGAATATATGATTAAAGTGAATATATGATTAAAGTGAATATATGATTAAAGTGAATATATGATTAAAGTGAATATATGATTAAAGTGAATATATAATTGTTGTGTATATATAATTGTAGTGTATATACTATTGTAGTGTATATACGATTATAGAGTATATAAATTTTGTAGTGTATATAAAATTGTAGTGTATGTATGATTGAAGTGTATATACGATTGCAGTGTATATATAATTGAAGTGTATATATGATTGAAGTGAATATATGATTGTAGTGTATATACGATTAAAGTGTATATACGACTGTAGTGTGTATACGATTGTAATGTGTATATATGATTGAAGTGTATATATAATTGTAGTGTATATATTATATAAGTGTAGTGTATATACGATTGTAGTGTATATATGATTGAAGTGTATATATGATTGAAGTGTATATATGATTGTAGTGTATATACGATTAAAGTGTATATACGATTGTAGTGTATATACGATTAAAGTGTATATATGATTAAAGTGTATATATAATTGTAGTGTATATATGACTGTAGTGTATATATAATTGTAGTGTATATATGATTGTAGTGTATATATAATTGTAGTGTATATACGATTGTAGTGTATATACGACTGTAGTGTATATGTGATTGAAGTGTATATATGATTGAAGTGAATATATGATTGTAGTGTATATACGATTAAAGTGTATATACGACTGTAGTGTGTATACGATTGTAATGTGTATATATGATTGAAGTGTGTATATAATTGTAGTGTATATATTATATAAGTGTAGTGTATATACGATTGTAGTGTATATATGATTGAAGTGTATATATGATTGTAGTGTATATACGATTAAAGTGTATATACGATTGTAGTGTATATACGATTAAAGTGTATATATGATTAAAGTGTATATATAATTGTAGTGTATATATGACTGTAGTGTATATATAATTGTAGTGTATATGCGATTGTAGTGTATGTACGATTACAGTGTATATATGATTGTAGTGTATATATAATTGTAGTGTATATATGATTGTAGTGTATATATGATTGAAGTGTTTATATAATTGTAGTGTATATACGATTAAAGTGTATATACGACTGTAGTGTGTATACGATTGTAATGTGTATATATGATTGAAGTGTGTATATAATTGTAGTGTATATATTATATAAGTGTAGTGTATATACGATTGTAGTGTATATATGATTGAAGTGTATATATGATTGTAGTTTATATACGATTAAAGTGTATATACGATTGTAGTGTATATACGATTAAAGTGTATATATGATTAAAGTGTATATATAATTGTAGTGTATATATGACTGTAGTGTATATATAATTGTAGTGTATATACGATTGTAGTGTATATACGATTAAAGTGTATATATGATTGTAGTGTATATACGATTGTAGTGTATATATAATTGTAGTGTATATATGATTGTAGTGTATATATGATTGAAGTGTTTATATAATTGTAGTGTATATACGATTAAAGTGTATATACGACTGAAGTGTATATACGATTGTAGTGTATACACGATTGTTTATTTTTCTAATCAGATGCACTTGAATGTGTTTCACCCAGGTTCTTAAACAATATATGCTCAATGAAGGTTTTAAATGAGATGACAGACAGAGAATTCTTTATTCAAAAGTAAGTGATAACATTTTACATTATTGTGTGTACCAATGTTCCATTCACAATTCAGGATTGTAATTTGTGACATATACATAAAACCACTGTGACTACAAAATTTCGAAATTTAGACTTCGGTTCTAAGACTTCCGTGCCTATATGAGAAAATAAATTTCCCAAGTAAAAAAAAGCTATAGCGAAAATGTAATCAAAAATATGATATACAGTTTGTGCTTTTAGTAAAGAGTACGCTCATGGAATACAGAGGTCGGCTCGCCCGTAGCAAAATATATTGCATTAAGAAAATGTAGACTCCTTTGAGACAGCACACTCGTCTCTAAATTGCATGCTTTATCAAGTTTAGGAGCTTGTATTTATGTAATCATAACTCTACGTGTTCTAAGCGTGTATACCTAGTATGTATAAATGCGTTGACATAAATCAGTGAAAAGCCGTTCCCTTTTGTATAACCATGCATCACAGGAAGTGCAGAGTGGAAAATTCAGATGAATCATGGACTGGATGTCTTTAATCTGCATGTTTCCTCCACTCACCGGCAGTATCGTAATATACCTCGGAAATCAGGGTTATGATCCCATGTAAAGCTATGTACCCTCTGTGCCATTTGTGGCATCGTCGTTATCTCCTCGTGGTGGGAGAACGCCGATCAGGTTTCAGGATCTTGTAGTAAATAAGGAGTGAATGTGAACAAAAGTGGTGACGGATTTAAATCAAGAACTCGGTCATATTATACTGTTTTGTAATGTGATCATTTCGATATACTGACGTGTTTTCTACGGGGTGTCAACAGTTGGCCAACAAGTGATCACTGTGTCACAGCTCGTCACCACTAGGCAATGTGTCGAGTTACTCGCGAAAATGGTGAATGATTGTGAAATATACACAATGCACTCAATGCCTAAGTACGATGGTCCATGTTTTATTTGCGTGCCCACTGTTTCCCCAGTCCGGCTTTTTGTTATACTCAATTATATGACTTTCTGACATACGGGGGCGAACCGAACTTTATTAATTTATAATGTATTTAATTTGAAATTGATTAATTGTATGATAATGATATTTTGTACAGTATTATCGTCTTTACATCAATGAAACCGGACGGAATGACTCATCACTAATGCATCATGGTCAACTTAACAAAGAAACGTAAAGAGCATATTCGTAAACCCTCGTTACTTCCTTTGATACACATGTCAACCATTATTTCGTAGATCATTGCATAGAATATACCCCATACAAACCGTTTTTATTTATTTTAATTACACTTGTAGCTCTGACGTAGGCATCTCCTGGCTATATATAATTAGCATGCCGCAGTGCGTCACTTGGATGGCATGTTTAAGAGTAGTGCGTTTACGTAAATCGTTTATTTGTCTCACTGAATTCGGACACATTTTTGTCCAGTCGGGCTTTTGGCGTATCTCACATCTGGATATCAGTATCCAGATGTAACTGGCTCATTTATGGGTTGGTATTTTCGATGAAGTCATCAACTTCACCGCCTGCAGATCGTGCACACAAACAAATGTTTCAGGCAACTACGGATTGACTTCCCATTGTTTAAAAACATTCACCCGACATGTTCTGATAGAAATGACTATTTTTATGATTATTAAAACGACAAGAAAACTACTGAATGAAAATGCGATGTATTCATTTTTTTTCACGGTGTATCGTAATACTTGCTTCGTAATACATTGGGTAATGTGATGAAATGTCAGAAAGTAGGTATCGTAATACATTGGTTAATGGGATGAAATGTTAGAAAGTGGGTATCATAATACATTGGTTAATGTGATGAAATGTTAGAAAGTAGGTATCGTAATACATTGGTTAATGTGATGAAATGTTAGAAAGTAGGTATCGTAATACATTGGGTAATGTGATGAAATGTTAGAAAGTAGGTGACGTAATACATTGGGTAAGATGATGAAATGTCAGAAAGTAGGTGACGCAATACAATGGGTAAGATGATGAAATGTCAGAAAGTAGGTGACGTAATACATTGGTTAATGTGCTGAAATGTTAGAAAGTAGGTTTCGTAATACATTGGTTAATGTGATGAAATGTTAGAAAGTAGGTATCGTAATACATTGGTTAGCGTGATGAAATGTTAGAAAGTAGTTATCGTAATACATTGGGTAATGTGATGAAATGTTAGAAAATATATGACGTAATACATTGGGTAAGATGATGAAATGTCAGAAAGTAGGTATCGTAATACATTGGTTAATGTGATGAAATGTTAGAAAGTAGGTGACGTAATACATTGGGTAAGATGATGAAATGTTAGAAAGTAGGTGACGTAATACAATGGGTAAGATGATGAAATGTCAGAAAGTAGGTGACGTAATACATTGGTTAATGTAATGAAATGTTAGAAAGTAGGTTTCGTAATACATTGGTTAATGTGATGAAATGTTAGAAAGTAGGTATCGTAATACATTGAGTAATGTGATGAAACGTTAGAAAGCAGGTGACGTAATACATTGGGTAAGATGATGAAATATCAGAAAGTAGGTATCGTAATACATTGAGTGATGTGATGAAATATAAGTTAGTAGGTTTCTTATTACATTGAATAATGTGATAGAGTGTCAGTAAGTGGGTATTATAAATGCGTTGAGAGGTGTGTGTGATAAAATATAAGTAAATAAGTATCGTATTACATTGAGTAATGAGATTACATTTCATTAAGTATATTGTAATACATTTAGTAATGTTATAAATATTACGGATAATCTCTGAAAATATTGAATGTCTCGGAAGACGTCCTGTGTTCGCGCAGCCGGTATGAAAATAGCCCCGCCAGTCAATGGGTTTCCTAAATATCCGGCTAGTTGACGAAAACTGCCGCATATGATCGAGTCACCAATCTCAAATTCAGTTCAGGAATTAACATTTCTATTTATATACCACACCCCCTGAAATTACTGAATGCGCTCTTGCACTGCTGTGTGGAGGGTGACCTAATACATGTGTTTTTTTCGACAAGGTTTCGAATTTAGCACAAGGCTATAGACACACTTCAGGACTACTCAAGTTTTAAAGTACTCAGTTGCAACCGCGGAAGTCCGGTAGTGAACTTAAAATTTACTTCCTGGCTCGAAGATTTGTGCACTTGGAAGTTGTGTTTTGTTTAATTAAATAATAGCCGCACCTTTGACTTGTAAGTGGACGTACCCTGGAAATGCAATACGACCACATACAGTGTTCCCGGTGTTTTATCTCGTTGATTCCAATGGCATGACAATTACTCCCATACCATACTTCCGGGTCATACTCACATCCGAACCACGCTATATGACTGGGCGAATGAATAGCTCAGCGATGACCAATTAAGGTCATAGTCTCGCTTCAAAACGTACGAGGCATAGCAACGGGCTCGGCATGAGGGCTTCGGCGTGGAGCGACTCACCTTTGACCAACATGCATTACAATTGGCACGACTAATATTCATATCAATGTGACGCAAAAATCGACATATTTACACACCACGGTCAATGCCGCAGAATTAACTACATGTGCGTCGTTGTTGCCATTGGCGTTGTATATACCAGATACAGAGATGTTAATAGGAAACAACTATTCACGATTACGTGTTGTTTCGATACGAGTGCGGTCTAAACGCCTTATATGGGTAGTTTTAATATATTTACGTGCACCCTACTGGTAGTCACAATTGAATAGAGACAAATGAAAGGATTACGGCCTTCGCTTAATTGTGCATCGGCAGTAATTCTGTTTCAGTGACGAGTACTATTAAGGACAAGGTTATAAAACGAATGAATTTTTCATCTTATTTCAATTATTGAAAAACTTCCGATGCTAATTTAAAAAGGAAAGGTTATATGGTGTAAACTTCCTCAAGGACCACCCACTATTAAAAACCACACTGAGAGGTTCAACTTTCTAGGGCGTACAATCGCGGATGCGAAATCGTCAGACTCTTTCAATGGAGCGAGGTGTTAAAATATTTATGAGCGAACCCTTCTGTCTGGCCGAGAAACTCGCCCCGTTGCAAGAATCCACGAAGCTGTTAATCGAACGACAATCTACACATACATCAAGAACGCAGATCGTCAAAACATCGGTATGACTTGATTTGGCAAGCAGATTCCGCGTGATATATTTGGCAAGCAGATTCCGCGTGAACGAAAGACGGCTTCAGCTGACGTCAGAAGGAACCAGGTCAGCCAATCGAATCATTCAAAACCCCGCATGCGCTCTGATGAACAGCACTGTCGTCAGTAATAACGGGGAGTGTCGTTCGTGGGTTTTAAAATGAGTTGAGTAGATCGAGTAAGAGCCACTGATATAGGAGTAGCTCACAGGCAGCTGACATCGCCGCAGTCACGTGGATCTTTACCGCAACTTTTCAAACTTGAGCTGAATTTGTGTTATCTCTTCAGGAAAGATGCTTATGGTGGACAGCATACTTATTTTCATTACGTCCTTCCTGACAATATATTATTTTTACCGTGTCCGGCGAAATCCAAGAAATTTACCTCCTGGGCCATGGGGCTGGCCAATACTCGGCTATCTACCACATCTTGGGAGTAAACCTCATCTAACGTTTGTAGAGATGGTGAAAACTTACGGCTCGATATTCCGAGTCCCGATGGGATCACAGGAAGTGGTTGTCCTCAACGGTTACAAAGTTATCAAAGAAGCCCTTGCTGATAAAGGAGCCAAGTTTGCTGGAAGGCCCACATGGAAATCAACAAGTGTATTTTCTGACGGAGGTACCAAAGGTGAGTTATAAAAAAACGTTGATGTCAAGGCCAGTCCACTCTCGTTCAATGACTTTCGTTTTACGTAAACATATTCAATAGGACATTATTAGTATTTTAACCAACATGTGGTTCACATTTTTAGCACAGTATTATCGATATCTGGCCAGAGACTGATTTAAAACAGTGATGTTACACCGATCTTTGCAGTTCTAATTTTGTGCTATTAAAAGAAGAATTTATATTGCGTCATCATTCACACGGAAAATCTATTTGTAGGCTTCAATAGTCCGTCAAGGCCAAGTCTTTGTTGTACTCTTTCAATGAGACGGACTGAAGGGTATCCAGGTCCCTTTTAAACATAATGAACTCGCATCGAGCTTACGTGATGAAACACACGCCATTTAACCATATATCGCTTGATAGAAAAAAACAAACTTCAAGCATCAAGCGAACAATGCCACTTCATATTTTAATACAGAGTATGCAGTGTTCGTTTTATCGCGGACATAATGATGTGAACAATCGACAATTGTTTTTTTCTTCCTGTTGCTTAAATTCCAAACAAGCTTTGATATTTTAAAAACAATGACATGGCTATATTGTTGTTTCTTTGTATGTTCTTTCAAATGAATAACTTGAAATTGTTTGAATTTACATACCCCCTTCCCATACAAAACAAAGTAATCTATTATGCATAACAAATTGTGTATTGTTTGCATTTTCCCCCAGGTACCATTTTCTCCAACGGCTCGGTTTGGACAGAGAATCGCCGATTTGAAGTGACTGCCTTAAAGCGCTTTGGAATGGGAAAACGGAGTATTGAAGAACCAATTATTGAAGAGGTGCAACACTTCTTAGACGCGTTAGAAGTTGAAAGAGGACGCCCGGTCGACACGTCTGCTACCATCGAGTGTGCTTTGACCAACATCATTGCGCAAATGACACTGGGGCAGCGATTTGAGTACGGCGACGAGGAGCTGAAGCGTATACTGGAGATGACACACGAAGATGCTGAACTGGTTGGTCCCAACGCCGCTATTAGTTTTCTCCCGTTACTGTGGTACATCCCGTGGTTCAGAAATAAGTCCTGCAAACTGCAACATAACTGCGCGGAACTGGTGCATTTTATCACTAAGTACATCGATAAACACATCGAGACATTTGATCCTGATAACATCCGAGATGTCATTGATGCCGGAATTCTCAAGATGATAAAAGAAGAAAAGAATGGTAGACCGGAAGCATTCGGAAAGAAATCATTGGCATATGTCATCAGCGAACTATTCGGCGCTGGATTTGAAAGTACCTCCACGGCGTTGAAATGGTGCGTCCTATATATGGTCAAACACCCCGAGGTTCAGACACGTGTGCAGAAAGAAATCGACAGCGTGGTGGGTCGCGGATGCCACGTTTCGTACGACGACGCTAATCAGATGCCGTACACGGAGGCTACCATCATGGAAGTTCTGCGAGTCGCTAACATGGCACCGCTGGGCCTGCCGCACGCTACAACGGCGGACGTAGAGCTGAACGGTTATACCATACCAGAGGGAACATGCATCTTTGCCAACGTATGGTCGGTACACATGGATCCCAATATTTGGCAGTGTCCGGATAAATTCAACCCATTGAGGTTCATTGGCGAAGATGGCAAGTTGATGAAAAGCAAAGCCTTCATGCCATATTCTTTGGGTAAGTTTTTTTTGGTGAACTACATATTCATTTTACGATAAACCACTTGTTTATCACATTGACTAATGCAACTATTAAGTCAAGGTATTCAATTCATATTAAAATCTTTCTGGAGGTGTGACCGAGGGTTCATGTATAACCCGGTCTATTAAGAGACCTTTCATTGAAGCAGGCAAAACTATCGCTTTTATATAAGTCCATTATACCTCCATGATATGACGAACGTACACTGTGTTGTAATGTCTACGTGATATAGCCATGACAACCGCCGTGCCCTTGGTTACATTGCATAATTAAATTACCCCTATCTTCTTTTGTATAGGTCGTCGTCGCTGCGTTGGAGAACAATTGGCCAGGCACGAATTGTTTGCCTTCTTCGCTAGTCTCCTGCAGAGGTTTTCATTGCGACTACCGGAGGGGCATCCAGACCCGCCAACAGATGGAGTACCGGGATTGTCAATTGCGCCGTTCCCTTTTCAAGTCATCATTAGTGACCGAAGAGATGACAAGGCCGCTTAACCCGCTGCCTGTCATATTATTTTTATTTTATCGGGAAAGGTCTTTAATCGTGCTTTACAAGAATCTCAAGACCGATCATGTGACCCAAACCCTAGCTTTTCAGTGCCATGACTCTCAACCCGCCGGCGGGTATCCGTATTAAACAGAGAAGTTACATACCAAACTACTGATCCCTGTTGTATACTGCCACAGCATAAGTACGCAATGTACGTAAGAACTTTCTGAGACTTTTCGTTTACTACTTGGAAGTCGTTGTAACATTATGTTACATTTATTTAGTGTTTGTGCAGGACATTGCATAGTGTGATGCCACGTTTGCGTTACTCGTGCCTTTAACAAGACTGATAGCATAACGCATTAGTAGTGGTTTCTGGAATAAACACACTAATAATACTAATCCATATTTTTGATATTTATTCAGATATATTTTTATAAGCTATTTATTAATTTAAGTTCTGTTGGGACATTTTTATGGGATGAATTAAACTGAATATGGTATAAAAGATGGCTGACTGTGTCGTTATTCATTTAAAGAGGTCAGTTTGCTACTCGCACATTGACATATACGCATACGTTAGTCGTTCGCAGTAATAGTAAATGTTATTAACGTATCTTTTTGTAGAAGAACTGCGCAATTGGCAAATTCCCACAGACCACAAAACAAATAAAAAACGGCTTCTCTTTAAGCTATGCTATGATGTTGTTTTCATCGCCACGGAGCATAATGATGAGATACATGTGTGCATTTGCCGTAGTGAGCAACGCAAGTGTTAGTCGATCTCTCAGAAATTCGTATGGTACCAATATTTTAATTCAGTTTTCTTCGTCCATTCAAAATAGAGAGCCGCCCATAATTAATACTTTTGAGTGGAGGAGAAATTGAGTTTGTTATGTGGAAGTTTTGGCATTTCTATCCTATAAGAACTCAATTATTTCCATATCTTTAGTAGTATTTATCTGTATAAAATACTTGTATGACACGTCCAGCAGCGAAGGGAGTGTCGGGTGGCTATGATTCATGATTTGGTTGCTCCTTTCTCCACGCAACACGGTATTCTCCTCCACGGAGTGTGTTTTTTTATCTGCGGAGTGGTTACACTGTCGGAGGCAATAGAAGGTAATGGAACATTCTAGAAATTGATAGTAAGTTTAAGACTCATTATGTATGCTGATGTGATGGTCTATTTATAGACAGTGCGGGTATATACAGGGGAGTTGTTCAGCACTGAGATCAGATCGGAGATCTCGTTGAATTGTATTGGAGTTTAAGTATCTAGTTATTGGAGTAGTTGAGTTTTACCGCGTTACTGTACTTGATGTTTGCAGAGTATAATAATACCAGTACCAGTTAAACCTCATCTGTTGGCTCCGTATTCGTATTTTATCATCGCCGCCAGAGAAGTCTTTCTGTTAGTTCCATTTTGGTATTTGAACCATCACACCTGTACTATACCAATTACGGTAATATTACGTTGCGTGTGACAGGGATATTCCTGAATACTAGAAATGACGTGAAAAAGAACATGAAATTAATTGCACCAAAAAGTCGTTCTAGTCGACGTGAACACGAAAAACACTCTGCTATCACGTCGACATCAATCACCTCGCTTCCATCTACTTTAATTTCACAGATGCAAAATGATTGCCACAATTATATTATTTTTTTTTTATATTTTAAATGTGAGTTATAATAATATAATGACGAAATGCCCTGTGTTTATGATGTGAGAAACTACCCGTACTACCCACTGTGTTTCCGATCTGATCAGGTTTTCCACCCACGCTTTCGTCAGATATCATTTAGGTACCATTAACTGGTTTTCAGCCTCCGAAGCATCGCGCGTAATACTGCTCCCACGCATGTATTAATAAAATAGAACTATTATTTATATTAAAACAAGTAATCACATTAGCTTCCTGAATGACAACTTAGCAAATATATAGCCCCCACGCACGTATTAGCAGAACGCAAAAGTATCGCTTAATTCGTGACTTCCATGACGAGTGCGAAATATTAACGGGTTATATTTAGATTCAGCGTGCATGCTGAGTAGGATTATCGCGGTACGCCTGCGCATTTGACATTAAAGACGAAAGTAACGCAGTTAATGAAAATACATTTGAGTGGGATAGATTATTCTAATTTGCGTCATTACCCCATCTATGGTAAACACGGGTGGGTGAAACTTTGCGAGATATAACCAACGCTAAGGACGTAATCCACGTAATTTAAGCAACGCATTTTAAGTGGATTGTCACGTTCTCGTCATATCACGAGATTCTTGTATCACGTGATCGTCACTGATTGCTGTGAAATGTCAAATGTTGACTTTTTATCAAATCTATTACGATATCAATGGTTTCACAAAAACGATTGATGGCGGTAATCGGCGTTGTCTTGGTGACGCCATATTATCAGATAATCCGTATTGCCTAGCCTTGTAACGCTATAAAAATCATGGTATGCGAGCCGTGCAATAATTTTCCATATCACTATCGTCCCTGTTTGACCATGTTTGGATATACGTATTTCTTTTAAAAATTTAAAGCGGCACTCCGAACAGGCTCCAGCCAGTTACCGATACATTGCGTTGTATCGGGGAGCTGAAATCCGTCACGGTAGCAGTTTTGATCTTGTACAGAACTTGGCTGTTATGATGCATGGCTTGTTTTTTTTATAAAACATCGATCACATTAGCTACGAATACATGTAACTGTCGGATACAGAAAGATATTTGGAGTTCAAATCTATCGTCATTCAAGAGATTACACGTTCTTGCTCAAAGGAGTTGCCACGGCAACGACCGCTCCCACGTATTGTTGATTTTCTGGTGTCAAACACAAAAGTTTCAATCTGCACTGTGAATGTTATAATAAGCGACAAAAATAAGATTTAACACCAGTAGCTTGAATCAATTGCATTTTAATGAACCCTATAAGGTATATGATAAAAACTTTATGGACTGAATACGGCTTTTGTTTATCAATGACCAATATTGCGCACCAGTCCTAGTCCACTGCCTCTTTTGTGAGGTGGAGTACACGTTGTATTCTTGGTAGAGACGCAGTGACCCAGTTGTAGGTACTCGCTATACACATGGGTGTTGTTTGAGCCTGGAGAGCAAATTGTGTGAATATTTGTTATCATATTTTTCAATAATGGATAGAGGAACATACCGCGTTGAGATTGTGCATATGTAGGTAATGGCAAACGTGGGAGAACACTAGTTTAATATCAAAGCATTTATCAAGGTTCGCAGCAATGATGTTTTAACAAGTGTGAACATATATATTCACTGATGAATTGCGATATCACTTACGAATAGGAAAATGGTTTAGTGGTAAACATGTAACTTTAGGTCACCCCTATCAAGACAATTGATTAAATCGGCTTGACCATTGCGGTGTTCGTATGTACTATAGTGCCTCCAAGGGTCACCTATTTCATTTACTGGGTGTTTACAAATATATTGTTCCCCGTACATCTAAAAGTACGTACTGTAGAATACTTTATTTCCGCCTGGAATTTATTTTCGCTATTTTCGCTGAAGGGATGCTTGTCTTCTCCAGTCTTCTCTTTTATATCTAACCACGCGGATAGTCTCATGTACTCGTGATATAAACATAATACCGACGAAAAAAAAGAAGAAAGTTATCAAATATTTATTTTCTGATTTCCGTTCATCAACAAATGTTTGAATGACTAATTGCTTCCGGTCAGGAAAGCCGATCAGTGCTACATTACATACCGAATATACTGAGACTCTACTGGTACCGAAGCTATGCGATGCTTCGAGTCGACACAAGAGTCTCATAACGAAAACAAACTGGGGATAGATCAATTTGGACACAAAAAACGACCATATATCGATTGAAACATTCTCAAAATATATTATTTATCCACCTCCCGTTCTGACGTACAGACTGGCGACGATGGAACAATATGAGTGAAAGTGTACCTAAGTCAGTCCTCTACAATACGGCACTTGTTGAAAGTACGTCTTGTTTATACAAGAATAGTCTCTGAATGAGAAAGCAGGTCGCGAAGATATCGCATGTATCTTTTTTTTGTCTTGAATGTTTTTTTTTATATCACGATTTGAGAGAAGAATACGTACATACATTTTACCGTCTGAATTCTCCAAACTAGAAGGCATTTTACAGACCGGATGAGTAGTAACAGCAAAGTTATTATATTACTCATTTAAACATGGGAAGTGTATGTGTCGATTATTTACTTAAAGTTGTGTACTTTGGTGCTGGCGACTTGATAGTTGGGTAACAAATACAAATTTAAAATTTATATTACATATCACGACCCATGACTGTTACTTTGTGTACCCTCATCATTACAGTTCAAGGTGATTGTGTTGGCATGACAGTGACTACACAATATTGACTACCACGTGTCAGCGCTCAAGGTTACTGAAGAATATATTGCGGACATGCAGCAGCCTATACAGGCCGCGTGCGGATGTTGCAATGGGTAGTTATTACGAGTCTGGAGTCTGACAGACCACTCTGGTCAATTGGAAATGTGATTAATGGTAATGAACATGTTGACATTTTACTACGGCTTTTAAACAAGACTGCGGACCATGACACGTTTAGTGTATTATTGAGTTCTCTCACATCCCACCTCTTTTACACAATACATGCACCGAGATTATTTCAGAATATATCAGGTGATGAGAATCCGTATTTCTTTCGGCGATCGCTACGGGAAGGTGAGCAAAATGTCAGTGGGTTAAAATTTCAATTGCAATTGATTCGACCTAGCAGCTGGGCACGGGTTGTGGAATTTTTTGGGGCTATTCGGCAGGATTCGAATGACGTCAGCAAGCCAAAGAGTTTGTCAGCGTATCAATGAGGGGCTATCACTCATCGGAAGTAAGAGAGAAAACAGCTATTCAGCCAAAGAGTGGCTATATTGTGTATTGCTGAATTCTCTATGAATTTGCTGCTCATGGGTGCATGAAGTAGTTATTTGCTTGTTTTGTTAAAGAGTGCAAGTGGGTCTTATAAACCCTATGTGGCCACACGTGTGTTGCCGCCGATGTCTTGTGTTAGACCAGTAAACAAACAGCTTTGTTTACGGCGCAGTGAATCATCCAACCAAGCTATATATTCTAGAGGTGTACCCGAAGTAGTGTTGACACGTATTTTAATAATTAATCGATTAAAACAAAGTATCATCCAAATCAACGCTCTGGTTCTGTCGGTTAATTGTGCAAGTGGTTGTGAAAAAGAAGTATGTCGAACGTAGCATGAATATCAACAAGATGCGAGATTTCCAAATGTTAAGCCTTGTATCACTTTAATGACTGGATGTCTCGACATCACGGTGACATGATTACATAACACAGTTCGTTTAAATTAGAACATACATTGTCCGAACCTCTAAGTATACATCCCAGTTCTAGCGCCCTGTTATATATACTCAGAAGTTTGAAATAAAATGCTATGGAGTAAATAAATTCAAAAATGCCGCTGCAATGAGTGA